CCCTTGAGGATTCAAAGGTCCAGGGTTTTATTGGAGAACCTTGTTAACTGGCATTACACCTCTAACCCCTGCAAATTGGTGGGGGCTTGTTCTAATGCCTGGGAAGGAGTTTGCTTGGCAGATAACACGGTGGAGTGGTTGAAAGCTTGGGATATACAATCAGACAACTCTGGTACCATTTGCTGTGTGACGTTTGCAAGTGACTTCACCCCTCTGAACATCAGCTTCCTCGTCTCCAAAATGAGATCCACAGTATTCACGTGCAGAGTTATTTTTGTTCTATGGTTATTATCAGCGGCCATGCCTGCAGGGTGAGGGCGAGTGTCTTGGGAGTCTTAGTCCCAGCTTTATGTGGCCTCTTGCATCTTGAAGAGAGGCAAGTATGGAACACTCCAGGCGCTAGGGGCTTTCTTTTTGCCACAAGTGGATGTTGGCAGAGCCGACTTGCCGGATGAACTGGGAGTCTCTGGCCCATAGTTTGCCAGCATTTGGGCATACCGGAATGGTAAAATACTGAAATGTCATCGGGCCTGCAGCCCTCGGGCCTTTTTTCATTGTTTTTGGCCAAACATTCTTCTAAGTGGTATAGCACTGCTCTGTGCATTGCTGTACAGAGGTAACTCGTGATTGCTGTGAAGCTGAACACTGTGACACTGATGTGTCAAATGCATTAATGGTTACCCATGGTGGACAGTGTTTGGTGGAGCTCTCCGATTAAAACAAGCTTGGAAGCAGGAGTGGCATCCACTTCCGTAATAGCTTGCCTCCAGAAACCGTATGAACCTGGAGAGAGGATGAAAGTCACACAAGTATTGAGGACTTTCGTTCATAGGGTCACTTTGAGTTGGCTACGACTGGACAGCACTTAACAACAACAACAACAGGATCTATCTTAACTGCCTGGGGCTTTTCCAACAGAAATACTTTAAAGAACTGAAATTCATTTTCTCAAAGGTCACAAGTTTTGTCACTGTGAGAAGGGCTTTAATAAGAAATCCAAGCCAAACAAAACCCACTGCTGCTGTACGTTTATTTTGACGCACAGTGACCCCCTGGCATGTTCACGAGGCTATAAATCTTTACAGGATGAGAGGGTCCAGCTTGCCCTATGGGTCATCTGCTGGATTTGAACTGCTGACCTTCTGGTTAGCAGTCTAATACATTACATACTTCACCACCAGTGTTCCTTTTGATTTCTGTTATAAAAATACACCACTATTCGGATGGCCCATTTAGTTTTTTAATAAGTTGTGTTCTTTTCAAGGAATTTGTCCATTTTATCCAAAATTGAAAATAATTCATACATAATGTGTGAGATCTTATTACATTTTTTTATATCTCTAAAATATCTGGTTTAAGTTGTTTTTTGTCAAACATTCTTCTAATTGGTACAGCACTGGTCTCTGCATTGCTGTACAGAGGTAACTTGTGGTTGCTGTGAAGCTGAATATTGAGACACTGATGTGCAAATGCGTTAATGGTCACCCATGGTGGACAGTGTTTGGTGGAGCTCCCAGATTAAAACAAGCTTGGAAGCAGGAGTGGCATCCACTTCTGAAAAGGCTTGCCTCTGGAAACAATGAACCTGGAGAAACGAACATTTATACAAATGTTCAGGTCTTTTGTTCATGGGATCTTTATGAGTCGTCTACGACTTGACGGCACCTAACCACAACAAGAAGATCTCTGTGGATGTTAACCCAGACCATTTCTCTTTTTATCTCAGTGCTGTTAGGATGTCATCAATATTATTAGTTTGTTCAAAGAACCGACTCTCTGGCTCCAGTAACATTTTTGTATATTTTTGTTTCTAGTTCATCCTGCTTCTGTTTCTAATTCTTTTCTGCTTTACTTGCATTTAATCTAGGGGAGTGGTTAGATCATGGATTATTTTTAGATCATTGATTTTTATTTTCTTTTCTATTGTAAGCACTTAAGGCTGTAAGTGCTTTCTGGGAACTCTGAAGCCTTATCCCTCACAAGTGTGTTACGTCACATTTTCATTACTACTCAGTTCGCAGAACTTTCTAATTTGAGAGCTGCCTCAGTAATTATTTAAGGGGTGTATTTCTTAATTGCCAAGTATTACATGGCTGTCTAGTTATCTTTTTATTGCTGATTTTTAGCTCAGTTTCTCTGTGGTGAGGAAATGCACTTGCATTTCCATTCTCTGGACCTGATTTATTTTAGTAAGTGCTTCATGTGTATTTAGAAAGATAAATCAGGTCCAATTTGTTAATTATACTATTCAAGTCCATAACATCTTTACTGACAATTTTCCTCTACCAGTTATCAAAAATGTGATTGTGGCTTCTGTTATTATTTTCTGTCAGTTACTGCTTTATATATTTTTAAGCAATATAATTAGGTGTATATAGTTTTAGAACTTTATGTGTTTCCAGTGAATCCATCTTGCTGTTTATGAAATAAGTGTCTTGGTTTTTCTTTAGCTTTTGTTGTTGCTGCTAGTGTTTACATGGTATATGTTTTCTTATCGTCTTTCCATCTTTCTATGTCTTTATGCTGAGGGAGTGTCTCGTGCAATAGAATATTGTTATGTGATGTCAAGTCTCTTTTGACTCATATCGACCTTATGTACAACAGCCCTGAAACCTGCCCTATCCTGTGCCAACATCACTGTCTCTGACACAGCTACCCTCACTACCCCAGTCACTGAATCAATCCATCTCATCGAGGGTCTTCCTCTCTTTCTTTGTCCCTCAATAGTATATAGATGCTGGTTAACTGGTAGTCTAGTGGTAAGAAGCTGCACTACAATCCCAAAGGCCCATGGTTCAAATCCAACGCACACTCCACTAGAGGAATGTAAGAAATCTCCTTCTCTGGGATTTACTGCCTCTGAAAAGCTGCTGGAGGGTCAGCTATGGGTTCTGACTCAACAGCATGCAAGTATTGCAAATACCACAAGTGGGTGACTATAAAGAACACAAAATGTGTATATGTGTGTGTGTATATTATTTTTTCTATTTATATATATTATATACACATTATATATA